GCTTTTCCTGAAACTATCGCAACAGTGCCCTAAAATTGAAACTTTATTTTCTTCGCCATCATAAGCATGTGGATCAAAATTTTTTCACCACTAAATCGACCATTGAATACTGTCTATGTGACATTATCTGAATTTCCAAAAATCTCACTTTCGTTTTTTCGCCTAATTTCCATGTGGTTGCCCACTGTGTAGTGTCGGTCGGGCGATATTACTGATATTTTGTAGTATGATACGATTTTTTTCAAAAAACGTCATATAAATTAGTTCATCTGTGACATATTTCTTCCACTAAAATTTCATTCCAACTACTAAAGCTTTCTCGGCTTATATAAAATTCTTAATTTAGAAGATTGAATTGGACTGCTGTTTTCGTTAAAAAAAAGCGTGTGAAAAATCAGCTATACATACATAATCAAAGTAAAAAGATTAATCTATCCCTTTGATAACATAAAATAAAGTTCACTTAAACAAAAAGAAGGAAAAAGTATTTTTATTTAGACAAAATATGGTCAAGACAAGCCGATACCGACCGGTACGAAGTTTGTATACCGGTGACCGGTACCGGTATCGCATTTTTGATACCGGTTACACCCCTGATAAGGATTCAATATAGCCGTAAACGGTTTCATAAAAGGTTGTTTACGGCTGCAGTGTTAATAGGATTAAATTACATGTTAAATTACGGTTAAATTACATCAAGTTATGACCATTTATACCGTGTTACGTTACAGTACACGGTCGTAATTCGCGGTATATGGCCATTGTAACCAATGACCTGGGCAATCATTCTTTCGTTTTGTATTGACAAGTTGTATATAAACGTAGCAATATCAATCAGTATAAACTTAGAAAATAAATTTAGATATATCCACTGAGTAGAACAAACTTGGTGACCATGCATGCATCTGCTCTATAAAAGTAAGATGTGGTGGATAATACGTGCAAAATAAAAAATAAATGGAACAATCCTAGTGAATGTACTGAAGATTGAGTACTCAAAGTCGTACTCTGCTGAAAAATGTCATCAGTGCTCACACAGTTTTTTACTCATTGAGTACTCACACAAGTACTCATGACTAAGCAACGACTACTGTGGGTACGACTTTGAGTACTCATGCTTGAGTATTGTTGGGTACTCATATAACGTTTTTTTAGTTGAGATAACAGCAGCTGTAAATTTTTGTTTGCTGTAACAAACAAAACTTTACCGCTGCTGTTATGTCAACTAAATTTCTACTCAAATTGTTACCCATAAATATCACAAACTATTTACTCATATAACTTTTGGCAAAATACGAGTATTGTTCACCTGGTATTTTCATATACAGGAGTGATCCCAGGCAGGTAGAGTTGGACTACAAGTCTATTCATAGAGAAGCTTTCTAGAAAACCAGTTTTTAAGAAACTCTAAAAAATAACCAAATCTTTCTTAAGGAGGCATAATTGTAGTGCGCACATTTCTGATTAAAATGAGACATATTCCAGTTCTACACGACCTTTCTTTGCAAAGTTATAGAATTTACAAGAAAAGCCCTGAATGTTCATTGTCAGCTCAAAGCTACAGACATAAGAAGAAATTAATTTAGGGCTTTTCTTGTAAATTCTATAACTTTGCAAAGAAAGGTCGTGTAGAACTGGAATATGTCTCATTTTAATCAGAAATGTGCGCACTACAATTATGCCTCGTTAAGAAAGGTTTTTATTTTTTTAGAGTTTCTGAAAAATTGGTTTTCCAGAAAACTCAGTCGTCAAGAGCCAAGGGGGAAAATGCTTTATGCCGATGTGATCAGCTTGTCGAGCTCTACAAAGTAGGGTATGTCCCATTGAAAAGTGGGAGTAACACTTGGGGACCTTCGCTCGTGAGTAAAAATACTCAAAAGCTGTTAGTAGAACTCATATGAGTACTCATGGACGAATTATGGGTAAAGCCTTACTCATGGTCTGAATACTTTCACTAGGAAAGTACTTGACTGAAGTTTATTAAGTAAATTTACTTGCATTGGGTAAGCCAAGTGCTTGAACAATAACCCAAAGTGCGTGTAAGTAAAATTACTTGTGGAAAATCACTATAGATGGGCTTCATTACTTGTGCCAAGCACTTTTTCAAGTACTTCGCTTCAAGTGCATTCACTAGTGTGTGCACAATATTAATTAGTTACTTAACAAAACAAAAAATATGTATGTTACTAACTAGCATACATATTTTTAGATAAAAACTATTTTTATATTTTATAAACTAGTTTTATATCTAAGCAGCACAAATGGTATAAAAGAAAAACTTCCTCGAAGTAATATGACTCAATGCAATTGTGGCGGAGACCAGCGATACGGCATGTAGCGACAGACCGTTCAGTATGCCGGCATTGGTTAATAATAGGTTAAACATCTGATCGATGAATCATTATTTTTTACTTTCTTTCTTATTGCGTTGTGATTCCGTAAAGCGCATGTTACTGCAACAAAACAAAGTCAAAATGCAAAGAAATGACACTTTTCAATTAACACGCCCGTTAGATTTGCGTTTATTTCATGAAAGACGGTTAATCGCTATCGAATTGTATAAAGAAAAAATGTTCCTGTTAGAGATGTAGTAAGCATCAAATCCCCTTTGATCATTAGTTGTTGGATTAGTTTTCTAGATTTTTAAAACTTCTTGTCTCTTTTCTTGCTGTTTCCCACTCAGCGAAAACCTACCTTATGGCTTTTTCTGCTATCTGTAGACACTACCGTTTGTTGAATAACTTTTGATAGGAACAAGATAGAGACCAGGGACCGCCCTTAAGTTTTTACTTTCTTACTGTACTTTTCCAACAAGAAAGAAAAGTACGATATAACTTTCTTTTGTGTTTTTCTTTATGAAGAAAGTACTTTGAAGTAAAACCAAGCTCATGCTCATGATCAGCGTCGAAAACTGAACAGGTCCGTAGCCAGGATTTTGCTAAGGAGAGTACACTATACATGTAAATCGATATACCGATTTTTTCTTGTATTTTGTTTTTGGGTTGTACCGGTTCTGATTCCAATATAGCCGTCTGTGCGATAGCAACCGGTCCAGAAAACTAACAGGACGCAGAAGGATTGTCACACCAGCTTGCATCAATGAAACACTCGAGAAAAATGTAGATATCTCTTGCCACAACTCATTTAAGCAACCGAAGTAGCTTTTTCTTCACCTTTTTACCTTTTACTTGTCATTCTTAATAATGTCGTTTGAAAAGAGATGAAAGCGCGAACCTTATATTGTCAGTGATTTCTTTTAGAAATCAAATATGATTGTTTTCATAGTAGTTGACTAGCAATTTCTACTTATGGGGTGTGCCCGGGCACAATGGGTACTCCCCCTAGCTACGAGCCTGAAACTTAATCGAGTGATGTGTTTTTCGAAACACATCCGAAAACATTTTTTTGTTGCAAAACACATCATTCGATTCAGTTTTCGACGCTGCTCATGAATGTGAGCTTGGTTTTGCTTGAAAGTACTTTGTTCATAAAGAAAAACACAAGAAAGTTATATCGTACTTTCTTTTTCTTTCTTGTTCGAAAAGAACAGTAAGAAAGTAAAAATCTTCCTTTTCCAAAAGAAAGGAAGTCAGTTTAGAGAAAGTGCCATCCATAGTATGGCTATATATTGGCCTAAGTAGAATTAAAAGCGCAACGGGAACCTTTGGAACAAAAAGTTTCTGGAAACCCCGAGAAAACTTTTCGAACTTAATAGTTCTAACATGATTCGATGCCCTTGGATTTCCTCTTTCGAACGCTGAAAAGCACAGGTCTCTATCTTGTTTCTATCAAAAGTTATTCAACAAACGGCACTTTCACTGCATTCTCTTAAATTCTTTTTCAAAAAATGACGTTTCGTTCTATATTGTGGTTATTAATTTTAGATGATGACCGTCTTTTGACTTTTAGCGTATAAACGGAATTTATATTTGTTCAGTTATGATTTTCGGTCAAAAACACGAATTGTTTATATATTTTTTTTCTTGTAAATGATGTCGCAGTTGTTCAACGCATTTTACCAACATTTTCATCCACTTGGGCTTTTCATTGTACGTTCTCAGAGCCATGGGTAGTTGTATCTAGTGTAATACAGTTTTTTTGTTTATTTATTCAGCTATTTGAAGATCATATTGAAAATACGGTCGTTGGTATTTGTTTATTTACTGTTGCCGTTTTACTCTATTATCTTATTCGTCGATCTACAAGAAAAGCGGGTAAAAATTCTTAAAAGACAAGTACGCAAGCGCCTAAATTGTTTGTGCTCTATTTTCTGTCCTAGTATTTGAGCCAAAACCACGTTTTCGTAAACGCGATAAATTCTTATACTATGGAAAACGCTTTCTTCGAACGGTATGTAAATTGTTTCTCGTTCTTGGCATTTTTTATTGTTCTCTCAATTAGATGCGTTCTTATTCATCAACAGCCAATAATCGCATTCGTCGTCGAACGAGACGGTAAATACAGAAATATTCTAAGAATTGAGATGTATGGTAATTTTAATTTTAGATTTCAACAACAGAAACTTCGTAGCGATGCGCCTACCACTTGGCAACCGCGACAACCACCTGAATTTCTACTCGAAACAGGTCTAAATTCGAAAGAATTGTCATTAAATGTTAGCGTCAACTATCATATGTTTTAACATTAATAGATTTCGATTTCGCTAATGGTGCACATAGAGGCGAATATATGTTACCACCAGAAATGTTATATTTATTAAAAAGTGTCAAGTGTGTATTTGTTCTATTTTCTACATATTCTCTGTTACATAGTTTTTGCTCATTTTTTTAGAGTATTCGGTCATTTTGAACGCCCACTATTTCTTGAGTTATGTAAATATTTGGAATCTAAAGTTGTAGTGGCGGGTTCTTATTTATTTCGGATTGGAGATGATGACAACAGCATGTATGTTGTACAGAAAGGTTTATTACATGTGTTTATTACAGATGAAGTAAATACTAAAAAAGCTGTTTCGAAAAATTGATGTAAATAAATTATATTTTAGAAACATCACCGCCATCTTATCAAAGAATGTGTTGAAGGTGACACAGTATTTTCATTATTGAGCATCGTCGATGTTTTAACCGTACGTAAGTTCGTTCGTTCTATTCTCTTCTATGGTTTTTTTGTCAACTAGTTTAGTGTTTAGGGTCATAGTAATCCATTTCAAACAGTTTCTTGCAAGGCAATTGAAGATTCTGTTGTATTAAAATTACCGGCTATTGCGTTTATTAAAGTTTTTAAAGAATATCCAGAATGTATTGTTCGCATAATTCAAGTGAGTAAAATATTTGTCATGGTTATGTGTTCCTAGTTTTTTCTTTTCATTGTAGATTTTAATGATTCGTCTTCAACATGTGACATTTCTTGCATTACATAACTATTTAGGTCTAACAACTGAATTAACAAATCTTACAAGTATTCCAGCAGAAAGTGGCACCAATGCGAATAATCATCATCAACACCACTGTTCACATTTTCGTCATCAAACTTCACGAACCCATCCAAAAGATAATGACTCAAAAACACCAACATCAGCGCAAAACAATCTGATGGTGCCACCACGCGAACGAAAAAGATCAACGGATTCAGTTGATGCATTATTAAATAACGGAGATCATGATAGTAATAACATGAAGAAGAGTTTACAAACTGTTCAAGGTGTATCCAGTGAAATGCATACAAAACTAAAGGAAAATAATCAAAATACTGATCAACAGTCATCATCGTCTAATACACTAGAAAATGATAATCAACAACTAAATCAATTAGCCGTCTTAGCTGCTGCAACACAAACAGCTGCTCATGCGTCAACACTAACGGAAGCAACAAAAGCGATCGCAGACGCTGTTGTGACTGAAGCATCAGTTTTAAAAGATTCGACAAGTACTTCAATGAAAAAAGAGTCATTTCAAACGAAACGTTCAATGAGTTTAATGGATGATGTTAGGCGATTAAAACCTGATTTTGAAGAAGCAGCGGCACGTGCACGAGTTAAAAATTCATTAGATAAAACAATTTTTGAAAAACAGAAAAAATCATATCCCTATATAAGCAAAGTGAAAGCATCAACTGGAAGAAGTAAAGATGCAACGGCTCGACGTTCAAGTTATTTAGAGGTATGTCACTATACACAGTGTTTCAGTCTGTCAAAATGGACTTTTTTACTTTTGCTACCTACAATTTCTAATGTATCATAAGTGACCCTTTGAACTAGTAGAGAATTACTGAAAAAACAAATATTATGCTGAATATTGTTACAATATCAGAACTTATACGTATACATGTTTGTTCATGTTGTTCTTAGCATGAATATGGAAATTCTTATTCTCGATCGTATGGTACAGGAAGTGATAGTACCGGGAGTGAATACAATGAACGTTCTGATGATATGGAATTACGAAACGAATGGCCAACTATTAGACAAGCATTAGCTACTGTACTCGGTATGCATAAAAGTCATATTGTTGTTTTTTCATCAGTGAATTGTTGTATTCAGGACTCGAGGGAGATGTTGCATTATTAGACGATAAAGTACATTTACATCGTTTGCCAGACAGTCATACGCTAGCAAAAGAAGGTTTGTAAAATCATTATCTCACCTGTAGACGATTTCCGGCACTAATATTTATGTTTTATATTCGGAAAGGTGAACAATTAAATGAACTATTTTATGTCATACGTGGGTCTTTATGTGCTTATATGAAAGAAATAAGTGATTCAAAAAGAGATCGTAAGAGATTTGTTTTGTTTATCTAATAAAATAATATACTCTACGTGTTTTGTTATTAGGTGTTATGTTCATTGATCGTGAAGGCGAAATAAGTGGTTTAGTTAGTGCACTAACTGGAGGTAAATGAATAAACAATTATTTTCTTCACTCTCATATAGAATATGGATAATTTTATTTTTTGTCAGAACCAACATTATTTACTTATCGTACAAGAGGTCCATCAGATATATGTGCAATAACAAAAGAAAACTTTTATGATTTAATGCGTATGCAACCAAATCTTGTATTACCAGTTGCTGCAAGTAGGGTATCGATGCTACTTTCAACACCTGATTGTTCGATGATATATATACTTTTCTTAAGTGATGGTAAAACGTATGTCTCCGTTAGTAAGACAAATTGATTTTGCATTAGAATGGATGTTAGTTGAAGCTGGAAAATCATTATATAGGTAGTGTAAATAATGGATTGTTTACTATTTGTTTTACGACGTACTTTTAATTTAGACAAGACTGTAAACCTCAAAGTGTATACATTATATTAAATGGTCGAGTACGTAGTGTATTATTAGCACAAGATAAAAAGCGAAAAGAATTAGTTGGTGAATACGGTCGTGGCGAAATGGTTGGAATAGTCGAAGTTTTAATGGAGGTGCCACGTCAAAGTACCACTCTTGCCATTCGGTATGTTTCTTTCTCATGATGTTCTTGTCATTTGAAGTATTATCACTATTTTGTGACAGTGATACTGAACTTGCTGTTATCCCGACTGGATTGTTAAATTACATTAAATGGAGACAACCACAAATTGTTTCAAGACTGATCAATGTTCTGAGTCAAAAAATTTATGGCACTCTACAAAATACATTGACAAATGGTGTTAATCTAACAATGCCACCAGTTGATGGTAATTTTCAAATTTTAATAATCGTAATAAGATTTTGGATTTCTTATCTATTTCAGAAGGATTTCAAGATCGTTCGAGTACATTAACAAAAAATTTATCAACGGTTGCAATTGTTGCTATTTCAGAGTATGAACTGATATTTTTTAAAAAATAAATAAATTCCATTAATTTAATATTTATTTAGAGATGTTCCACTTGATGCATTTACATGTGAACTTGTTCATAGTTTATTAGCAATCGGTAAATAATGTATAAAAATCCAAAGAAAATATTTTCATTATATATTACGTATAGGTCCAACACTTCACTTGACTGAACAACTTATAATTGACAGATTTGGTGAATCTGCACTCGAAAGGTATATTCTTTTATTCTTTTATTTAACCATGATCACAAACAATAATTTATCCTTCATTTGTTCAGTATCAACGATTATCGTTTATCAGCCTGGTTAGGTCAGCAAGAAGAATTACACAAAATTGTTGTTTATCAGTGTGATAAAAAATTAACACAATGGACACGACGATCATTAAGACAGGCGGATTGTATTTTAATCGTTGGGAACGGATGGAACGAACCGACTAAAGGCGCAGTATGTATTTTATTTATTATTTATTATTTATTATTAGTCAATGATATACTAAGTGTTATTGTTTAGGTTGAAAATGAAATTGAACGTAGTGCTGTACGAGCTCAAAAAGAACTTATTTTATTACATCGAATTGATAGTCAAAAGCCAAAGGGTACCGCTCGCTGGTTAAATATACGTCAATGGATAACATTTCATCATCATATTCGATGTCCTGATCGTATGTTCAAATATTCAATAGAATCTGATATTCAATCTTGGGTAAAAAGTAGTCTGCGTGTAATAATTTATTACTCAACTAAAAATATTTACTTTTTAGACTGATTACAGTGATTTACTACCGACTGAACCAGATTCTACATCTGATTTTGCCCGTATGGCTCGATTTTTGACTGGTACAGCCATTGGACTTGTTTTAGGTGGCGGTGGTGCACGTGGCTGTGCTCATGTTGGTATGATTCAAGCAATGCATGAAGCAAACATTCCGATCGATTTAATTGGAGGGACAAGTAGGTTTCAAATAGAAGTAAATCAATTTCTGAGCTGAATATGTTTATCGATTTAGGTATCGGTGCATTGATGGGTGCCTTATGGGCTGATGAGTTAAATATTCAAGGATATGTTGAACGAGCTAAAGATTGGTGTGGGGTAAAGTTAACTTAAACGTTATAGATCGACTTTCTCGATTCGAGTGTTACTAGTATTTCTTTGTATAGAAAATGACATCTGTATGGCGTAAACTAATCGATTTAACGTACCCTATTACGAGCATGTTCACCGGTAAACTCAAGAACAAATTGATCTGAGATTATATGATAAATTAAAATTTTATTTGCAGGTGCTACATTTAATGAAATAATTGAAGAAGCATTACCCGAAGTTCAAATTGAAGATCTCTGGATACCCTATTTTTGTGTAACAACTGATATAAGTGCATCCAAAATGCGAGTACACACAAGTGGTTAGTGAAAACATCATTTTTTTTTGTATAAGTTATCTAATTTTTGTTGGTCGGTGAACAATATGAAAGTCTATTTTGTTTCTTCTACATATGTTGCATTTCTCAAAAATATACACCGACTGCTACTGCGTCTTTCAGGATGTGTATGGCAATATGTAAGAGCAAGTATGACATATGCATTTTTACTACCACCCTTGTGTGATCCGTTAGATGGTCATCTTTTGTTAGGTTAGTGTTCATATGATTCATTACTGCATCATGCCTTCATAATTGCATATTTTTTAAGATGGATGCTATGTGAATAATCTTCCGGGTAAATTGAGATATGTGCATGAAGAGGGAATTATATGCATTATTTTTTATTTTAATTTATTCTGGGTTTATTTCGTTTTTTTTAATTTTGTGGAGTCAGATTCCTGGACAATAATAAAATTCTGCTTTATCTAATCTTATACTAATCAGAAAAATGTACGTTCTGCATGAAGACATTATTTATACGGCAGGTATAGTTATATCATTAGAAATAAAAAGTTATTTTTTTGTTAGGTGCAACATTTGTGGAAGAAAAGAGTTCACATCAAAACATTTATCGTATTTTCTTTTGTTTTTCTCTAACTTGTAGGCTCTTTATGGCGTTATGTACGAGCAAGTATGAGCCTTTCTGGCTACTTTCCACCTTTATGTGATCCGGATGATGGACATCTTTTGCTTGACGGTGGTTATGTCAATAATTTGCCAGGTATGAATTAATTTTGAGATGTCCAGGAATCGACTCAACATTTTTTTATTAGTATACTATTTATGCATGTTTCTTCTACCATAATCTAATTTGCTATGTTTTGATAATTAATGGAAAGAAAGTCTTATTTGCAGACTAATATATATGCAGATTAATTAATTAAAATATTTCATTTTTTTTCTCATTAGCGGATGTTATGTCTAAGATGGGCGGTAAGTAGTTGATAAAAGATGATAATGAAGTTATTTTGACGACTTTTTATGCCTTTACTATAGCCCATACAGTTATTGCCGTAGATGTTGGTTCTCAGGATGAGCAAAATTTTTGTAATTTTGGTGATCGTTTATCTGGATGGTGGTTGTTATATAAACGTTGGAATCCGTGGACGACCCCCGTTAAAGTAAGTGTACTGTTACAGAGGTACGGTAAATAATAAATGAACATTTTATTTACAAGGTTCCCGATCTTAGTGAAATACAGACTCGTTTGGCATATGTATCGTGTCAACGTCAATTAGAACTTGTTAAAACTTCAAATTTTTGCGAATATATTCGACCGCCAATAGATCGATATAGAACGTTACAATTTGGAAGTTTTGATGAAATTAGAGTAAGTGTAGATCAAATCATAAAACAAACTGCAGTTATTGTGCGTACACACTATATTACAGGAAGTTGGCTATCATCATGGACGTGCGATATTTCATGGTTGGTCAAAATTAGAATCGTATGACGCTATATTTTTAAAACAAAAACCACAATCATTTCCTGAGAAACAAGCTCGATTGGTATGAGATTATTTATTCTTATTTCATTCTCTCGCCATATAATGATTATTTAGCGAAAACAAGATTCAACTGGTTCAAAATTCATTGATTTAGCTGAATTAATTACACGAGTTAGAGAACCAGCTTCGTCAGGCAGATTGTTAGAGGAAGATGAAGATGATTATGGTTAGATTAGTTGGTAATAAACTCTTTTACATAGCTACTTTAAATTGTCTAAATTTAGATACGTCTACAACGGAAGATTCACATTTATCATTCTCTAGCACGACGAAAGGACGAACAAAACGTTCAAATCGTACAACAACTAGAATAGGCGGTCTACGACGACATAAAGCTCGAGTATGTTTGTGTATTGATGAAATTGTTATATCACATAGTCTTTTAGTAAATATAAATTATTAATTATTATTTCTATTTTTCAGGTGGTTATACGATCGCGTCCAGAAACGCCAGTTCAAGATTCGTTCGGTTCATTAAATAATCATCAATCAAATATTGAAGAAATTCTTTAAAGATGTTTGTAGTTTACTACTTTTATACATACATGATTATTTTGCAATCTGGTATTTGAGTATGCCCATGTAACATTTCTTCACCACTATTTAAACTTTTTGTGACATATAATATCTACTTTTTTTTCTGTTTCTCTTTCTGTACGTGTGATACTCAGGGTAAAAATGTGCTTAATATATAAATATTTGTGTGAACTATCTCTTTCTGTTGGTGACAAATCGAGCCGGTTTCGTGTGCTTTCTTCATTTTTGATATAAAATAAAAATTTTGTTAAACAGTTTTGCTTAGCAAATGAATTGTTGTTTAGTGTCATTTTTGTTTTTTTTGATATTTATTTGTTGTTTTCGATGATCTTTTGCCAGTTTGACTATTTTTATTAAATAGTTGTTATGTTAAAGCATGAAAAAAGTTTTTCTGAAAGAAAAGTAAATTCGTTTAACCAACTTAAACAGGGCACTAAATTGAACAACTGTTGAAAAATTAACCATGGATAATAGATTCACACCATCCAGCAGAGAATAACCCAAATTGTTATTGTCAGGTCAAAATTGGATTATGAGAGTAAGCAGCATTCAACCGAAACGTATTTTTAAGGTGGTCAAAGATATCACGACCATTCAAACGTTGGGGGAGATACACAGTGGAAAATTTCGAGTTTTCATACAGACGTCAGACATTTTTCGATTAAACCAGTATTTTAATGATGGATTATCATTCTTGAACTGCCAAAAAGTCTTAAAAACGGAAAATAAATGCTCTCAAAGTAAACTGTTTTTTTTATAAAATCTCGCTACAAAAGCGCAACATTTTTTTCATGCGATCCTAATGTTTTACACTTGAGTATTGTCGGTAAAAAAAGAGAATGGACTCGAATGTTTTTTGAATAACATTTGATAGAAAACTGATAGAGACTTGCGGTCTTCATCAATTGAAAGTAAAGACCTGACCGCACCTGTTCATCATGAAAGTCATTTTGAAATCCTTTTCTTCAGTACTTTTTCCAGAGAATCTTCAGAAAACCAAGTTATTGCCCAAAAACTTGAAATACAAATATTTTGCTTTTTGTCATGGGTCGGTAGTCCAAAGTGTCCGCTTCAACATTGGAGTAAAGCGAGAGCTTGACTTTCCGCGGTTCGATCGTAGTATCGTATTCCATTTGAGTTCCTAGACTGACATCCGGTGACTAAGGATAACTTTTAAATCGTATGGAACATGGGTAATCGACTATCAGGTTTTTGCGGAAACGAAGGTTTCCGCGTTGTTTTCATCTAATATTAAAAAACTTACAAATTAAGGCTACCGAATATTGTTTTTTCTTAATTAAATTAAAAACGTGAAAAATGATTATCAGCAAAGACTGGAATTCTGTGAATGTGCATTCCGATAAATATTGTGTCCGATGAAGTAGAATGACAACATCCGGCACCAAACAGGAAATAGGAAGTTTATCTTGGCTCAGATAAGAGTGTGTTCGTGTTCAAGGTTAAGCTCGAACTCGAGCTCGATCTCGGATGCTTTTATGAACGCAGACTCGAACTCGAGGTTTGGGGATTGAACTCGCGAAAAACTCGAATTTGGCTTTTGCAAAAGGAAGCAATACTGCCAACTGTTTGTGCCTTTTACGGGGTGCATATTTTCATGGTGAAACTTCTGAAAACAACATTCTTTTCAGTAATACGGATTTGTTTTCATATTTAAGTGAACTTTGTAAAAGAATCTTCTGGGTTCCTGCAACATCAGCATCTATTGAACGAGTGTTCAGTCATATTGAATTTATAATGCGCCTTCATCGATTCCATATAGCAAAATGTTTGTTTATTAATTCATTTAAAATATAATAAATCATTAATTAGTTAAACAAGAACACAGTATATTGACTTGAGTAGACTGGTTTAGTTTTTGAAGTTTGGCGTGTCTGTCTATGTATGCAGATTAATTAATTGAAATATTTCATTTTTTTTCTCATTAGCGAATGTTATGTCTAACGAGGGAAGGCCCCTCGCTTGTGAGCTTAAACTCAGTTGACAATAGGTAATCGAACGTGCTGATTCCGAATATCACAATGGTTTTTGCCCGCTTTCGATTTGAAGACCCGTTTTTTAAAGATCTTGGTTTTTCAATCGAAAAACCATTTTCACTAAAAAATTTCCTTGACCTATCGAAATGAAAAAGCACGTTGTCAAACCTACAGAAAACAATTTTTCAAGGTTCTAAGCGAGATTTTGAGCGAGTCTTCTGCGTCTAAAACTTAAAAAAGAGGGAAAAACCGCTAATATTCTTACACACTTTATAAAATTGTGTTCTGTTTTTTCACACATGTTATTAGCAATTGTGATAAAGGTGGCAATAAAGCAGTTTCACAGAGCCATGATTCGTAAAAATATTTGCTGTGTTTTTAATGGAAATGATAACTGGTAAAAAAGTGTTGAAAACACAATTTCTTCGAACATCGAGCACAAGTTATAAAAACAGACTCATCGCAGTCTTTTTCTTCACACTGTATATGAGTTTCTGAACTTGCAAAGCAAACTTGATTAACGCCGACAAATGGAGAAGGATCTTCACGCATTAAGCCACTGGAGAACCAAGCGTATTTTTTCATTGGCGTAAATACATCTGCGCTCAATTGATTGTGCATTAGACTGCCTAAACGTATGATGTTATTTCGTTCGTGTAAGTGTATATCTAGTTCATACAACGCTACACGATGATAACATGCTTTGAGGAAACTTTTAATTTGTCTGTTGAAATAACAATCCAGTGGCTGTAGCTCGTCAGTTGTATTTTGTGGTATTTGTAAACGTGTGACCTTTTTACCGCCGCAATTTTCCGGTTGATAGAGTTCTTCGCGATTTTGTCCTGGGTAACTGTCTGATAGCAGCAAACATTTAGCATCAACCAATGAAAGAAAATAGTTATCTCTCCAATATTTAACCAGTGAAGCAGTAAGTTTTCCCGACGCCGAACAGGTTATAATGACATTTTTCGGCTGAAACAAGTGCCTCTTAACTTGCTCTCCCATTTTTCCTAAGATAAGGGAAAAAACGAGCGATAGCGGTTTAAAACGGTTCGACTAACGTTTAACTCACCTCCCTGCTTCTGCAAACATAAATAAATCGTTTCTAAGAGCCGTCCGTCTAATGAGATAGTTGGCTGCAAAGTGTAAGAGTGTGTAGTAGCATTTTTCGACTGAACAGCTGCAAAAGTCCTTTTTTCACCAACGGAAGAGATAGTACGCTTTGAGTGTAATTCTTTTTTGACACCTGTTTGACCTGTATTAAAAATTTCAGTTTAAAGTGAGATGACACGTTATTAAACGACAAAATAAAATTTTGTTTTGATTTTTCTATAACTTCCCGATTTTCGACTTGATGGTGTGAAACAAAGTTTGTAATTTTCAGAGAAGTTAATCTATGACAATTTTTGAAATTCTCCAGCCAACCATGAGAAGCATGAGAATCGTCGAGCTTTATTTCTTTAGCGATCTTTAAACCCCATCGCTGGATATCCACATCATGAACAACGAGATTCTTTTGTCTTGCATCAACTAACTTTTTGTAAACTAAACTGTCCAGATCTTGAGTCTTCTGTCGCTTTGTTCCATGATGTTCCAAATATTTTCGAAAATGTGGAATATAACTTCTGTCTGGGATTATTCGAAATCGGTGATGAATGGTTTTCCAAGATCTCCCATGTTTACTTCCCGGACCTGCATGATCAATAAAATCGATAACTTGACGCATAAACTCTTGTGAAAAGCTTCTTAAATGATATTTTTCTAAAGCTAATTCTTTGTCTTTCCAATCTTCATCCATTTCTTCACTTTCTTTCTCATCCAGCATGGATTCTTCCTCCTATTCACTCTCTTCATCGTAGGTATAACGGCCGAAATCTAAAGTTGTTTCCTCAACGTAATCAACTTTTTGTCCACTGGTCATTAATTTAACAGTGTCAGCCAGATGTTCGGGCATTTGTCGCTCCTGTGATGTAATCGGAGACTGTTGTGTAACGGGTGAATTATTTGCAATTAAATCACTCAAAGCCGAAACGATATTCTGCGCATTCATTTTAGTTTACGGGAAAAGAGCAAGGGGGAAAAAGCATACTTCTGTACTTCTCGGTACTTCTCCGTACTTCTTGATACTTCTTCGTACTTCTTCGTACTTTTTTGTACTGCTCCGTACTTCTGAAGTACGAAGTACGAAATACGAAATCCCGTGTGTGCTTTTTCCCCCTTGGAAAAGAGTGACGAAATCTATCGAAATGGTGTTACGGTAAGCCTTGTTTTCTCGTCCGTTGGTCAGTGAACAAATGTTATATTGTAATTTCTTTTAAATTAACCTTTTAATATCCAAAGATGAATATAACCGATACAGTCACACTTTATTATAAAAAATCAGCAACTATATATAGGTTTATGAACAATGCGTTAGATATAGTACTGTCCGGGTTAAAGGAAATTCTCCAGACAAAATAGGGAGAAAACCCATCATTCAACGGAAAGGAAAGAAAGAGAATAGAGAAAGTTACATATTAGGAAAATCCCAAAACATAGAGAATAACGCGCAAATGTATATATATGCATGTTTAAGAAGAATAGCAGAAGTGATGATATGAACCGGAGGTGAAGATCAAAACAGTTACAGTCTTATTGACTGATGTTCATTGGTTTTAAAAAGTCTCTTTATTCATAGAAAATCGCTGTCTATATATACGATGGATAATTTTTTCTTTAAATAACAAATATTTTTACGAATCATGGCTGCCACCTTTGTCACAATTGCTAATAACATGTGTGAAAAAACAGAACACAATTTTATAAAGTGTGTAAGAATATTAGCGGTTTTTCCCTCTTTTTTAAGTTTTAGACGCAGAAGACTCGCTCAAAATCTCGCTTAGAACCTTGAAAAATTGTTTTCTGTAGGTTTGACAACGTGCTTTTTCATTTCGATAGGTCAAGGAAATTTTTTAGTGAAAATGGTTTTTCGATTGAAAAACCAAGATCTTTAAAAAACGGGTCTTCAAATCGAAAGCGGGCAAAAACCATTGTGATATTCGGAATCAGCACGTTCGATTACCTATTGTCAACTGAGTTTAAGCTCAAAAGCGAGGAGGCAGTTGGTGGCCTTCCCTCGCCCTCGTAAGATGGGCGGTAAGTAGTTGATAAAAAGATGATGATAAAACTATTCTGACAACTCTTAAAAAATTTACAATTCACTCAGAAAACATCAACGAATTCAAAACTTCAGGGTATGGCTAAAAATCTCCTGTAAATGTAATTATTACCATCGAAAGAATTGAAAACCAAATTTTTGCTCAAAAGTTTTCCAGAAATCCGTTACAAAACCATCAAAAAACATTCGAGTCCATTCTCTTTTTTCACCCACAATAGGCCCAAACTTCGCTAGATTTTTGAAAACATTCTCCGCAGTCCAGGATGCCGACGCTATTTGGCGCTGGTACTATCTTAAATAGTTATAACTACTTTTAACCATTCTAACACTGAGTTTAAATGGTTAAAATAATTATAACTTTTTTAAAGTCAACAATGGAATTTTAATATTCCTATACAAAAGAGGTTACTTTAACGAGAGTTTGACGCGAGAAGACGAATCAGAATTGACATCATTAAACATCATTTGGATATAGTAACTAATATTGCCCAAATGACGTTCACTGGTTCACAATCGTCATTGCGCGATACGATTGGACATATACTAGTATTAGAACAATATTGAAATAATGCTTCACAGAATAATATACCTCTATACATCTTTGTCACTTCATTTAGAATCGTTCGTGCTTTTTTTATTATTCCACTAAAAAGCATAATATTTTTTCAATTTAACTAGAACGAAATACCTTGCTCAACAATTATTACGTTTAACTATATGATGGTCTATATTTTTATTATTTGAAAATTTTAGAATAATTAATGCTTCTTGGATAGTTTTTACTTTAGCTAATTTTTCTCTAACATCTAATGATGTCTAATGATGGTAGAGCAATATCTACATTAAATACACAAGTAAATATTATCTTTTGAATGTTTGTGAACTAATCAACTCTTACTTTATTAGCTTCTGCTTCTGTTTCACATCTGAAAGATAATACTGACCCCAATGCTATTATCAAAAATATAGATTTAATTTTTGAATGAACAATGTTTTCGTTGAATGTTTAAAATATATTATTGAATATGTATACCGGTAATATTGATAAGAATACAATCTTTCTTTTGTTTATATATGCGGCTGTAAAAACTGCTATAAACATGTGTGTATATACCATAACGAGAAAACTAATGTTACTACTTCTTTCTTCATCTCCTGATTATCGTTCGATCTATTTTTTTTTTATTATGAACAGAGATTAGTGTCTCGCTTTTATGTTTCCAATATGTGAAATTGCTAATATTTCGCTTGGCCTTTTTCATACACTGATCAAAGATGCAGTTGACTCGGTATGTCTATTATAATCCTGTCTATATGCTTGTCATCTTCTAAAATATATATGCAACTAATATTAGGACAGAAACAATTACTGAACAAGTCATGTCACAATAGTAGAAACAAAATTAATAATGACACATAGATGGTGGGCATTATTATTACGAAGAAGTTTATGAATTTGCTAACGTAAAGAAATCGACTTTTTATCTACTGCAGTATATTAACTTAAAGCTCAGTTTTTATTATGTTTCATTCATTAGTAAAACATATATCATTCATTTATATACAATTAATAATAAAAACAATTTAAGTATTAAAATTTCCTTTGCTTCGTTATTTGCTCATTATCGTCGATATTTATCAAGTATAAAATTAATTTTGTCTCATATATTAGGTTGATGAATTAACCATTATTGTAAACGAATACATCTTCTAAAAACGGTTAATGAATTTATACTATCTAGATTTAATTATTCATTTTTTTTTTCTATTTACCTGCAATATGCATCGGGATGAGAACCAAATGGACAAAAGTAGGAATTATTTTGACCAGGAATTGGTCGTTTGCATACACATTGGGGTTGTTGGGAATGTAATATTTGACATTTTTGCATAGCATAACAAGCCGGACTACAAATTCTATCTCGACAATGACATAATTCTTTATCAAGTATCTAGAAGTCAAACGTGTATAACAAAACATAGAAAGACACTAAAATGTTGATAGAATCTACCTGTGCACTACTGGGACATGTATCAGTTCCCAGTTTACACTTGCAAGAACATTCGGTATGATTAATTGTTTTAAACGGTTCCAAGGCAATAATACGGAAATTACCTTCATTTTCGAAGCGAATAATCTTTTACCAAAAAATAAAGAAAGAAATTAGATAAATTTTACAATTTATATTTTTCTTCTTACCGGACTAAAGGAAATTGTTTCAGTTTTCGTCGGTTCACAAGTAAATTGTGCTTCTTGACAACATCCACTACACACGTGAACTTCAACACAATTAGGAAAAATGACTCCTCCCATTTTCACTTGTTTTTCATAAACAGGAATACATGTCACTCTTGGTAAACAGCCACCGGCTACATATTGTACAGTTTTTTCTTCTAAATAAATATTCAGAAAACTCATAATTCACTTAAATTAGAAAAAAATGTTCACCCATTCACCTGTATTATATTGTTGGAGTTGTTTATTTATATCCGACTCCATTTTTCGCATGTCCACTAAAATAGATTATCTGAAATATCTTATATTTAAAACAAATTTAAAGTATAATGCACCTTGCATCGCTACTTGATGCTTGTTAGTGATGTCTGAATCAGCATAAACAGCTAATGCTTGTTTTAATGTACGAGCTTTTGATAATTGAGCTTTAAAATGAGCTATTTGGATCTGAATATAAACTAAATTATGTTAACGAATATATACTAACAGAGTCTTTACCTGTTCTTTTGAACCGCCATATGCAATGATCAGATGAAAAATCAAAATTTCGAATATTACTATATAATATAGAGTCGACATTGTCTTATCCTTTTAGACAAAAGTGTGTGATGTTTTTGTTTTAAATACTATGAAACGCCTCATTATTTTCTATTAACATCATTATGAGAATGCGAACATCCGAAAAAAAGCAGATGTTTGTACAAATTAGTACATATAATTATATGATCTTTTCTTTGTACATTCTTTTTCATATAACAATGCAAGATATGCTGCGAAATAGGGTCGTTTTATCTATATATATATCTAATCATTCTGATATATAGCAAAAAAATAATTTTTTTTGTTATCGTCTAACAGAGAAAATATTTCTCTCACGTATTTCAAATAATATGAAAAAAACTTACCTTATATTATGCACTGATAAACCTAGAAATTTTCATACGGAATGATGCATGAATTTTTCCATCTGTCTATAAATATAATACTATTCAGAATGATTTGAACATCATACATAAGAATAGTTCATGATGTGTGCGATGCATCAGTGAGATAATGATAAACTATTTTATTAATTTCATGTCAGTACACTTGTTATGAATATAGAAGTGTCAAACGAATGATGTAAAAATAAAATATAAATTTATTATTTTATGAATTTGGATTGGATGTAGTCAACAGCAAAAGCTTTTTATTGAATGAATATAAATACACAAATATTTTGAAAGAATGACTAATGTTTAATTTCTCTAGAATGATATTCCCTAAATGATTCTTCTAACACACACATTTCTTGCACATAACAAAGTCATCAAACACCTGGATAAGGTTCTTACTTTCATCCTGCTTTGAAGATCGAGCTACACTCCTGTATATTCTCATTTCAATTCATTCTATGCATACAATCAACGCCAATGGATCAGTGTAAAGTATTTCATTGAGTAATTCTTTCTAAACATACATTCCATTCTGATAGTTTATCTCGTTTGATCTAATATAAGCGAAAAATAAATGTTTGACGACATGCTCATGAAAGCCGTGCAGTTAAACATCCAGCTCATTTTAACAATAATGGACAATGGTTATTCGAACAACGGTTGAGTCAATTCAAGAATTTTTATTTAAATAAACAAATCTAATACATGAAAAATTGTTTTGTGAAACATGTAAAACATCAATGCACGATCGACATCCAGCAGCCGAGAATAGTGGAATTTGTAGCTTAATTTTTGACCCGACATATTATAGTCAGTTGATATCTTCTGAGAAACGAAACACCATGGTCATCTTACATACGATAGTAATTATTTACGTGTTCAAAGAACACGATATATACATCTCATGATTTTGAAAAATAGAAATAGAATCTTTTAAAGCAACGTTTGCAGTTCTCATTCAAATCTTTGTAGAATCGCTTATAAATGACAATGACTTATAAAAGTGTATCCGAAGTTGCAGTAAATGTATTTATGTTTTGGATTTCATTCGGAAAAAGCAACAACGTTTTAAAAAAGATATAAAACAAAACAGTGAAATCCTGCCTGTCCTTCCAACTTATCCTGTTTTCGTACAATTCTTGAGAAGTTCATCTTTGAGGCAGATATTCTAATTCAAACAAGTTTTGCTATACGTTGAAAAAGAACGCACTCGAAACTACACAAACTACGTTCTGATGCTTGTGAAACGAAACCATTAGAAAAAAATTAGCCCTGTATGAAAAAAAGATGTTAATTTTGTCGTCATTTAGTGCTTCGCACAATGTTTCATGTCATTTTAATTCACCTTTGGATTTTGCAATAAAATAGTGAACGTATTTTTTGTAGAGAATTGAACGGGGGATCGTTTGGTAAAAAAAATTAGCTTGATCAAGTCTGAGGAAGGAAAGAAAAATTGAAATATTGACGAGTGCAATTTCTCGGTCACCCGTTATCTGGAGATTTTTCAAAGTAGAGGAATCGATAAAGTTTTACACTGGCTACATTCTCATCTATTTAGCTCTCAAAGCAGTTTCTTTCTTCATACTGTAGTGAAAAAATACACTAACAGCCACTAAAAGCCTCGAATCAAAATCCGAGTGTAGCCAACAGTTAGAGTATTTTAGTTTTTTAGTTTTTTATACTAAAATACTAAACTATAAAGTTAGGGGAGCGCTGATATCTTTTTTGACTGTTAGTAGCCGTTATTAAGTATCTATGTAAATATTGTTCGATCTTAGTGTAATCAACTCAATGAACTCTATCTGTTCGCTACACTCGCATTTTGATTCGAGGCTGTTAGTGTACTTAGCAAATACCCCAAGGTTTGGCGACTTTAGTCTGTTATACCGGTCGTTTGTAAAAATAATTTTAGCGCGAAGTGCTAATTAATTGCAACAGCAAACTAATAACAGTTGACAGTTTAAAAAGATGTACTATTTATATCTGAAATCTGTATCACTTTTAACCTTTCAGTTCAATTTTCAAGACGCAGGAGAAATCAGATTCTCGAGCGGTTCTTTGAACCTATGACAATACTTTTTTGACACTAACCACGTTCTCGGTAAAAATGCCGTCTCGTACCGTTACAGTGTACTCGCAGGCGTGCCATGATTACGACTGGCATCTATAGTTTTTAATCCATTTTTTACCTGATATACAGCTATGAGTCATAACTTCACTTCATCTTGTGAATTTTATGAAAAAAGATTGTTTGAGAATGTACAAACATCACTAATATCATAGATTCTAAATTCTGGCTAACTTTCTCTTATCCGTGTAAAACTGATCATTTATTCTGCATGTTTTCGAGTCCCCTCTAAGAAAAACTATTATGTCTCTATTTCAGATCCAGCTGAAGATGAGCCACCAGTTTAGTCGCGGAATGAACCATCTTTTTTCTTCTATTCATTAGTGAAGCTAAGAAAAGATATAAATAAGAAATCAGCAGTAAGTCATGTCACATGGCTTCTGCATGACAGTGTCTCGGCTTCTTGAAAAAGCTAGTCATTCTTACTGTACTTACATTTATTACCCTCTATAAACTGATGAACAAACAAAAATGTTTGCCATAGTCGCATATTTGTAGTGCCATATCAGTGCAAATTTATTTTGTTTAGATCTTGCTCTATCTGTATTTGTCTTATTTTCTCAAATTATTACCAAAAAACGAACAATATGAATCGCCTGTTTGGTGCTGCAAAAGCTCCTGTTCAAAAGCAAACATTGAGTGATACGGCTGCTGCTCTTGATAGCCGAGTAGGAACAATAAATAAAAAAATTGCCGATTTGGAAACCGAACTAGCGGCTTATAGTCGATTACCACCAGCACAAAAAGTAAGACATTAATTAGCTGAGGTACTGTCGGTCAACTTGGTGTTCGTTTGTAGGCACTGAGAAAATCTCGAGCATTGCGTCAACTTCAGCAAAAGAAAATGTAAGTTAAGCGTTGTAAAGCCTATTAAATTACACTTTTTTTGTTCGCTGTTAAAAGGCTTGAAGGTCAACGAAATCAAATTGAAGGACAAGCGTCAAATATTGGTCAAACTGAATTTGCTCTATCAAGTATTCAAACAAATAAACAACTTGTAATGTTATGGATATTTGCCTTCTAGCGATAGGCATTTCTGTTCTTTTTCTTGACTTTTAGTTATCAGGAATGACCGACGCAAATAAACAATTGAAAAAAGGTTTTAAAAGCATGAATATCGATAAAGTTGAAGTAAGTAATACGATGATTTAATTTACTAGGAGGATTTTTCACGATATAATTGCTACTTATTTCATTGGAAACAGATTAAATTTTAATCTTAGCATTTATCGCTAGTATTTTATTTCGTTAGTTATCCGTCAAAAAATTGAGATAAATTGCAAACGAGCTGTTTGCAAGTAGCCAAACCATTTCCTTTCGTTCAACGATGTAAATGGATAATGTTAATGACATAACTAAATATTATATTTTTATGTTAGCGAACGATGGATGATTTGGATGATACGATGTTTGACTATTCAGAAATCAATGAGGCTTTAAGTCGACCTATTAACGATGAATATATCGACGAATCAGAACTTGATGCAGGTAAGTGATGGTGAAAGTTTTGCGAAAAAAATTAGTAAGAAGATATTTTACGCACAACATGTGAAGACGATTGAGAAGATGTGTTGATAATAATTAATAACAAATGAAATATTAGAAGGATGTGCTGTTACACGAAATCAAACCTGCTTCTTTTATTAACTAAAATAATTTTCTCCTATTATAGAAAAAAAACTTAATGAAAATTTTAAAACTTGAATGTAAATTTCAACATTCCGTTCATGTAGCACACGCATTTCGATCAGAATCTCAGACTAAACAAAAAAAAACAAATTTTAGTGTACAATTGATAAAAGACTTAATTAAAGAAAAATTCCTGTACCGTGTGGATTATCAGCTGGATTCATTCTCTACTTAATGTTTAGAACTAGCTGCTATTGCCAGTGAAGAATTAGGACTGGATTCGGGATCATTACTCTCTGATCTTCCAGCTCCAAGTGTACCTACACAACCAATTGATGCCGGACAAATTACGAATAAAGTATGTTGACATTGGATAATCATCGAATTATTTACAAAGTGCTTTTCTCTTTTCTCTCTATTCAAGGATGGTATCCCAGTTGATGAATTTGGACTACCAAAGATATCAGCAAGTGGCATGAAGTATTAAAAATAATATTACTAATGGAAAAAAAATTTGTTTTTTCATTTTTCTGTTTGTATTTTCTTTTTCTTGTACAATACGCATTTGTTTATATTTTTTCTCGTTTTTTTCATGTATAATTCCATTCATATATTCTTATTCTTCTAATTTTCTGTTAGGTAACTTGTGATGTTTACGTTTATGCTTTAGTATCTATTAATTCAATCCTAAAGATTGAAAGGCTGCTACGAATTGTGAGACGCATATCTGCGTTCATGAAATAGGTCGATTTGCTCTAATTTTTGTCGCTTTATTTTGAAAACAGAAAAAAGAATGTAATTTAAACTTCTTTTGCAATAAAACATCAAAATCTAACCTATTCTAAACTGTATATAGTTGTAAAATAATCTTGTTAAATCAGAAACTTCAAAGTTAATTATTTGGAAAACGAGGCAACACTAAGAGCATCCCTGTCAGAAACCTATTGTCGTCCCAATCTTGACAAAATCTTCAAAGAATGTGTGTTTTACCCTAGAAAAATGACAAAAAAGAACTCAGAAGCCTTTTTCGAAGCAAACAAGGTGATGCTCAAAATCAGCGTGAGGAACTGCGTACGATAAATATAATAGAAGTTATTTGAAAAAAACCTTTTGACCCTTGATTTGACAGGCGATTTTTTTTAAATATTGCGTTTTTTCTTATCCAAAATATGTTTTGGTCAGTAGAGAAACCCAAGGTAAAATAAAGAAGGCAAGTCAAAAAATGCCAGTTGTGTAGACTTGCCCAGCGTTACGCTAAACGATGTGGTTGAAGATGTTTTGCGTCTTATAAAAAATAGAGATGTTAAATAAGCTTCATATTCGTCGTATTTTGTAAACTGTGTTTCCTAGAACTATTGCGCATAGATCTCAGCCATCTTCGGGAGAACCTGATCTATAGCTTGACAAAACTTTGTAGCAATAATTTTGATGCAAAACAAATTCAGCAAAATAACAACAATTTTAGCAAAATACAGAAAAATACATCAGAATAAACACCTGAGTGTGTACTCTTTATCAGACAATTTAAAAGCATTTTTTCAAGCATGACATTGTACCAACTATAGACCATTTAATACATCGACATTTTCCTGAACAACACTGATAATCGTGCCCACAAACTGTTGGTGTTAAACGACATGCTTCTTGACTATAAACATCATCACGACCATTATCCATTGTGTACTGTGTATACGACAGAATATGATCGGGTGTCATATGACGCTTATCATGTGATGTTTGTTTCCAGTGAAATCGTCTAGATTGCATAAATGTCGACGATATTTCTTTTGATCGTGTTAATAAACGTCTATTTGGTTGGATGTAGAAGGATGTCATTCCGTTTCGTAAAAAACTATATTCCGCCAATCCTAAACGAAGTTAAGCAGATACATTGCTTTTTAGATTTCGGATACTTGTTTTTTATTCTTGAGTCATAGGTCTCAAACAAGTGGAGAAGAAAACTATGAGAAATCTGCTACAATTCAAAGACCTAAAAAAGATGAATATGAAATACTATATAATTTAGACAGTTTATTTTTGTGTAACTTTATGCTCGATTTTCAAAGTAATTTCGAAGAGTTCGTTGTAACTTTTTATATCTCGACTTTATGACGTTAAAAGTTATTTAGGAATTTTACTTCGAAATTGAGAGAACCTTTTCGTTTATGTACCTGTAGTTATCTGTGATGCTAACATCATGATTAATAATATCAAAATTTTTAAACAAAAATTCATATTTTATGCTATTATGCTGTTCTAGTATGTTGCAAATATTTAGTAGATTGCACACAGACACATACACGATTGAAAACTATGTCATTTATTCAAACAAAACGATTAAATTTGTTTTACTTTCTCGTCCAATTTTCTTTGCTCTATATACCTTCGTCATCAAGAGACACAGAAAAAGGAGAGTAAAAGGAGTATAGGAATATCGTTAGAATGATGACCCATTGCTTTTACTTCGTCGTTGTACATGGTTGTCGAATTTATGTTTCGTTATTGTTCAATAGCATGATATACAGACAGAAAGTTCACTAGTTATCTAAAACTCTGATCTATCTCTAGATCAGAAAGAGATTGTGCTCACTTTTCTTTTTATATGATTGTCGTTCTGTATACCTGTATCTCTATCTTTAGAATGTCAATATATTCGTAAAGAGACAGTGATATACAAAACGCAAATGAAAAGAGTAATTTATTGATGCTTTTTGACTTTTTTACGTTTTTAATGAAACATAGTATATTCAAAATTATAGAATGAATTTAAGTAAAATCATTTTACATATAAATAGCGAGCTTTCGACACTATCACAGTATCATATGATGATACTGTGATAGTGTCGAAAGCTCGCTATTTGTATGTAAAATCATTTTACTTAAATTCTTTTCTGAAAAGAGTAATAGTAAAACATGAAGCCACTCTCAGACAGCTACACAGATACTCTCATACAACTGAACGTACAGCTGTTTTTGGTTGTCTGAGGATGTCTTCATGTTTTACTATTCCTTAGATAGCAAAGCTTCTGTCACTTTTTAACTCGTCTAATTCGCTGACTATTCCTCGTTTATGTATGCTTGAATTATCGCGTGTTCATTTGCATCTCATGAGGTAGTTGTAGAAGGCATTATTTCATCTGTAAATGATATCCATTAAAATAGGAAGAGATTAGCACTATCAGAATTTTAAGTGAAAATGATAAAAAATTTGATTAGATAGAATGTTGTTATAACTAGAGTCGATACTAATTGAAAAAGTTTTAGTTTGTATACTCTGGAATTTGAACGAAAGTGGTTTATTGTTGTTCGATTAACTTGTTCGTTAAACATATCTGTTGTTGTTTTTCATTAGTTTTACTAGTGATGAAAAAGAAGGGTAACGTATATATGATGTACTTTATCATTTATTATGAACAATTAAGTCAACAAAATGATGATATTGATTTATATCTTTTAGTCGGTACCAATATTGTACTATCAAGGACTAAAGAGAAGAACATGTGAATAAAATAATGTATTATATGTATGTAGTAACATGTGAATAGCATACAAACAACATACCTTACAGAGTCATTGACATGGACTTGAAAAGTAGTATGATTGTAAATTTGTTATTTTTCAAATGAATGGGTTCTATAAGAGGCTTGTTTGTTACTCGTTCCAAAAATAAACCACTCACTGACTAACGACGAATAACAGAACTTGTTCAATATTGAATGTTTTAAAACGATTTTAGTGCATTCAAGGTAAGGTTTCTATTACAAGAAGGCTACAGTATTTGATACGGTAGGACAGCCAGACGTTCGCTTATTAATTTTGCGTACATATAAATTATTTCTGAAATACTATTCAGATGGATGTTTTTTGTTTTTCTTCCAATGGGAGGAATAAATTCATGAGACAAAGCCAATATAGTAAATATCTCTGGATTTTTGTGAAAAGTGTGATAAGTTATAAAACTAAATCTTTTATAAAAACGTGATTTATTCAAAGACAAAAGTTAAGAAGGTTAACAAAAATATTCGCAGAAACAAAAGAACTACATAGCTTGAGGACGTAAGGTTTCGTTTGTGGATGAATTTGTAACAGCAGTTAAATTGTTTGACATCGATGGTGGTACAACAGTTTGTTCCGTTGTTGATCGATTATTTGTTGATGACGTTGGTATGTTCGTACTTCTTCTTGTTCTTTGACGTCTTCGTCGTGGCGTTGTGGAATTGATTATTGGTGCTGTTGCTCTTAATAGTTCAACTTGAACTGGGGACCGACAGTACGCACATATCGAATGTGTTCTTAGCCATTCGTTAATGCATTGCGAGTGAAACATGTGATTACAGTTTATTATCTTAACGGGACTGTCAAAATCAAACTCTGATAAACCTAGGACAAGTGTAATGATAGGAGTAAAAACAGAATGTTGAGAATAGTTAATTAGACTTACAAATATAACATTGTGCAGATATTACATTATCTATTTGTGTCGTTTTAATTGTATTGTATAATTTCACTGGTATCGATAGTATATCCGAAAGTCGAAGACCTCGATTGGTCAGAATTGTCGTTGGTATTATGGCTGGTCTTTGTCTTCTTCGATTTGTTGTTGCTGATGGGGGTCTTGGTGGTGGCGTTACAAACGCTGACTGATTATTCGCAATAGTATGACTGTTATTAACTAATGATTCTTGTTGTGCAACAACTGTTTCAAAAATAATTTCCACACTCAAATTATCATCAGGATCTTCGTCGATTAGTTCGTCCAATGGTGTTGTTAATGATGTTGGATGACTCACTGATGTATGTACATGAGTTTGAGATGTTTCATATAGTTGTGGTGACGCTGTTTGACTATTTATTATACTAGGAGATAATACACGTGTTGGATTATTTGGTCGATAACGTGATCTGAACGATCGTGCTGTTGATTGATCATCTGTAGTTGTATCCGCATTTTCTGGTGTTGTTGTTGGACTAGCAAGAAGCAATGGTGGATGAGTTGAAAGATACGAATAATACGAATCTTGAGCGAAATCTTGCTCAAAATCTAATGTGCCCGTTGGTGTTTCAAGTAATTCTAGAGACTGGTTATTGAAATCAACTGTTGATAATGTATCAACTGAATTTCCACCGTTGTTGACATCAGAATGAAATACATGATTCAAATAAAATCTCGATTCTAACTGATTATCTAATAGGAAAAAAAATACTCATTATCAGAGAGAGCTTCGGAGCAAGATCGAATTGAGAAGAAGAGAAATAATAAAAACCTTGTGTTCTCGAAGTACTTAAATTGATTGGAGTTAAATTCGATGGTTGTTCGAAGGTTGATGTTGTTCTATGTTGTCCACTTGGTGAAGATGTTTGTAATGTGTAATTATAATCGAACATATGCTGGTTACTATTATTCAACATATTTTCATACCGATATTGGGTATCAATTAAATCAAACAGTGGCTGAACAGGTTCTGTACTTATAAATGAATCAATAAAACTTTCATCATCTACTATCGCTTCAGGCAGTACTATCGGTATGGATGATGATGAGGTACGAAATAAATTACTAACAGCCTGAGAAGCCGTGACAGGATTTAAATTGTGCATTGGTGAATTCTGACGTTGCCGTCTCGAATAGGGTGCTGAACGAACTTGTTGTCGAGACATTGTTCGACGAGAGTAAGAGGAACGGCGTAAATCTCTTGATAAATCAGCGTAAATTGATGTTGAGCTATTATTGTCTTCTATTAGAACAACTCTACTGTTATCATGTTCATCTATATGTGAAATTTCGTTTCCTGAACTCGATTCATCGACATTGTTCACCATACTCATTTTCAAATTTTGATTGCAAAAATAATGAAGTATAAAACAAATCTAATCATCGATGGAAGCAGTTAAATATAGTAAGAATAATCAAGGATTTTGGAAAAGATAATCATGTTGTGCGTGTTTGAGGAAAGTTTGTGTCAGTTGAAATGAAGATGTGATTGTGACTTTTACGATATCAAATTAGATGAAAGGAAGGAAGAATCTATTAAATTCAAAACAATTGTCGTTAAGTTGAAGCGGCTTTTTTTGATTCGGCGAGAGAATAAACCTAGAATTTACTGAAACAGGGTTACCAGAGTAACACAAGAAGAAAGAACGACAGTACAGCGACATAATTGTAGATTTCTGTCCCTTTCAGCAACAATTAGAGAGATAGAATCGTTTTTTCCGATAGTTGCCGTTTGTTATCAAAGTAACGAAAAGTAAATATTGAGTGTTACTATGAGAAGAAGTATTGTATCATTGCATTTTTTGATTGGAACAAAATCTCTTACATGTCGATACATATGAGATTGTGGTCAGAATCAAATAGATCGGCTGAAACAGGTGGTGATTTTTATAGAAAGTCACAGAATTTGATCGCCGCACCCTGAAACATAGAGAAGCTTCATTTCTGATCAATAGGTCAATATGCTGTCAGCATTCGTCTGTTGTTTCCGTCACTAGTAATAGGTAGACGGCTGCAGACAAATGTCGAGCATTCTCTCTACATGTGTCCCGATGTGCTGAAAAATTTATTATTTTTCCATTGGCAAGACGACAGTTTGAACTTCAGAAAGCATAGAAAACAACGTTTGTGGTTAACGTAGTTTTGCTTTTATTTTTCCACTAGTCTACAGTCTGAAGAAAGAAGCTGGTTTGAAAGCCAAATACATGAGAATGTAGTTAGTATAAAACTTTATCAATCCTTCTACTTTCGAAAATCTCCAGATAATTCTTTGGTAGTAGAGAAAACATATATAAAACCCAATTTTGATAAAAAGCACTATTTTACATCAGAAAGATTAAACATCGAGAAAATCTGTTTATTCAAGGCTCAAACAATGTAAGTAAAGCGTAGTACTACTACTATACTGGAATATTTTTCCGCTTGTATTCTGACAGAATAATGCTTATATCAAAATTCGATCAGTACTAGATATGCACCGGTATCGGTATACCGAATACCGAAAATATCGAACTTCGGTATATACCGATACCGAAAATACCGACTTTTTTCACTTAGAATTTTTTGGATTTTTTTCATTTGAAATGAGATGTTTTAGCGCCCTGGACACCCAGAATGAATCAGGGACGGAAAACAAGAGCTTTCTTTGCTTTCTAAAGCCAAAGTTTTTCTTTTCTTTCTATCTGCACATGCTCAAAATACATAGCTGAGTGTTGTTTATGCGTTCTGCTTGTCCAGGATGCTAAAATACCTCATTTCAAATGAAAAAATCCAAAAAATTCCAAGTCAAAAAAAGTCGATATTTTCGGTATCGGTATATACCGAAGTTCGGTATTGTCGGTATTGGTATTTTCTGTATCGGTATTTCGGTATGAATACCGATACCGGTGCATACCTAATCAGTACTAGAAAATAATCAACTAAGTCTAATTAAGGACTCCTCCCCCCTCAGAAATTATCTCCGACACCGTACATCCGATCTTGACGAAACTTTCCATAAATGTTCGGCACAATGAGTTACCGGAATAAAAATTGTTTTTTGTCTCCAAGTTTTACGATTTAGGAGTTTTCCAGGGATCAAGGTCCAAAAAGGACTCTGAAGTGCGTCTGAAGGACTCTGATATACTTCAAGCTGGAGAGTTCGGGTTTGTTTTATTTTAACCTAGACACCTAACTACATGGACAAACCGGCGTCGATTTTTCAATTAAGTCTTTATTGATTTTCCAGGCAACCAACAACCACCAAAACCCGAAAAATCCTTCCGGATTTTCTAAAGTCCTCAGTTTGATAAAAAACCAAGACCTAAGTCAAAAATCGATGCCGGTCAGTCCATATAGTTTCTTTGCCTCTTTTAAACAAAAAAAAGAATGAACTCTCCACGACAAACCGCTATTAAAAATCTTGCGACGCACTTCAGGTGTAACTCTTATATAAAGAAAATGCTGTATTAACCGCTGTATGAAATACTCGATTTTAAGACTTCTAGGAAAATGCCTGTAGCGTTTTGATACAAGGTCAAACAAAGTTGTGCAAGGTCTTATTTTGATCAGAAACGTTTGCTCTACAAAGCTACGTGTTCAGAAAAATTTTAATTGCATAAGTATCCAGGAAAAAACTATTATCTGAAGACCCAGTTTTTCGAGGCTCTTAGAAAACTTGCTCAAAATCCCCGAAAAACCAGTTTTGTAACCAAAAGCAATAGAGATTCTGGAAGTAGACACTTCAGGCTACCTTTCCATGTGCGTATCTCAAAACCGATTTTTTGACCGAAAATCACCATTTTTGAGGGGGGGCCCTTAACTCCGTTATGGCTAGACGATTATTTTGTTCGTCACGTACTTCAAACGTACTGTGTTCGAACCTCGGCGCTAGCAAAATCATGTAATAGCCTTGGCCAAGTTATTTATATCTTAGTGCCTTGGTTCACCCGTCTGACACCATTCTCACTACGTAGTGACGTACAATACAGCTTCTGGAGCTAGTCTTTTTAACATCTGGTATTTAAAAGTTTTTCTCGCTCAAACTCAATCATAAGAAATTTGTTTTCTGAGGTTTAAACTTTGGTCTTTCCAATGGAAAAACCCACCATCGGTGTCTTAAACTAAAATTTTTCTCAGTCAAATATCGTGCTTGAAAAACTTGTTTGGATTTTTGTTCAAATATACATTTTTCACCTTGAGACACTTATAATTAACTCTTGAACGATCCAACATTTTGGATTGAAACTTTTATCACCGTGTACGTGATGATATTTAGTTTGTTGGAAGTTTCATTGAGATCGAATGTATTGTATCGGAAATAAGAAATTTGTGAAAAAAATCTAGTTTTTAAATTAAAATATTAATTCTTTCTATCTGCGATTTTCTTTGATGAACGATTCATTAAACAAAACCGTTATTTAGTGACGACATTTTGCGAAAAGATATATGCAACTTGTCTTTGAAGAAAATTACATTAGATGCATAGATACAGGAACTGGAACTACCTGAAATGCCTAACAAGAAAGCATTTTCACATGATCAATTTCAGTTTTGATGAAACAGTTTTTTTATAGGTAATTTTTGATAGAAATTAAAAGTATGACATTCGTGACGACTATTAGACTATGACAGTAAAACTGGAGTCGAGTCTCTACAATACAAATCATTAAAATGAATCAATACGGTGTTTTTTTTTCAGAATTATAATAATTTTCATTTTATTCTGAGAATTTGTTCATACTCTATAAACTGACACTCTTAGAAATGTTTATAAGAAAAGTTTATAATAAGGAGACGGAGTGTCTTTTTTTTGAGCGTCATTCTGTAAGTGGTATCATTGTGGAGTTAAATGTGAATAAATAGTTTTTGGTCTAATATAAAATATATGTTTCATTTTTTTCTCTCTCTTTCACCTCGCTACTCATGAACATTCATACTCATTAAATAGCAGGGATAGTGCACGAGTTATGGAAAAGGCATTTTAAAATAAGTAATATTTATGCTAAATAGACAATGAAATGCATTTTGAACAATGAATGCATTAAATTAATCAAAATAAAAATATTTTCTTGTTTTTTTGCTGATAGTACTAAAATCTAAATCTTACCCTGAGTCGTTTGACAAGTAAAATCTATGCAACGAAATGTGACTGTTGCTAAATATTACAGTCTTTATTTGAATAATATTCAGTTTCTACACAAAACCAAACAAAAAGAGATAGATCTTTGTTTTCAAATGTTAGAAACTTAATGAAATTATGTTACTACCGTTGTATTCACTTCAAGATGTCATCTATTCATTTGATATCTTCAAAAAGTCCTGTTATAGTAATAGAAAGTGCTTTTTTCAACTATCCAGTCAATAGATTTTTCTTGAAAATTAACGTTTCTATGTATTAAAAAGTTAAATTTTTCAGCCAATTAGCCATAAAAGATAAACTTCGAGGAAACCGTTGAAACGAACATAAATAGACATAAATAGTTACCTATTTATATTGGGTACATTTAGACTAAATTAGAATATTTTCAGTAATCTTTTACTTATCGTAATATTTTTCTCACTATTTTTTCATTATGACAAATAAATTTGTGTTTTGTGTATCTTTTTAACAAAAGCAATTGGTACAAATCTCTGCAACATCAATACGCTTATTAGCGATTCTACATGATTACTTACTTAATAAAGTCAGAAATTTTGTTTGTGTTTCCTTGGGGGTCTTGTAATGTTATAAACACCTGTATATCCACAAGTACTCTAACGATGTAATCTTTGTAAAGAATCTCTGACAAGTACTATAGTTATACATTTCTTTCTTCGTCTAGTGAACTCGATTTCACGCCTGTTAACGATAATATTAATTACTTTTTTTAAAAATAATAAAACTTTTTCTTTTATCTTGAAATTTGCATGAATATCACAATTACTGACATTTTTGTTCAAAATAGAAAACAAAAGAAAAAAAAGAGAAACAACACATGTTTACAAATTTAATATTAAAGAATAAAATAATGATTGTATTCCGCTTTCGGAAATTTTTTTCAAACTTTTCACACATGATATGTAGGAAAAACGTTCGATACCCGTTAAATAAAAACAAATAATATTTAGAAATAGATAATGTAGTCTACTCTAATCAGAATTATTTGTAAAACGATTAATCTATTCCACAAGCATGAAAAATTTGCTATTGACTATCCAAAAGTCAATCTCAAAATCTTTTTTCAATAACATAGATAATATCACACACACACACACACACACACTAGAACCTCCTGTTAAACGAGACGGATGTGGTCTCTAGATATTTTTCGATAAAAGTAATGAAACTTGTGTTTGTTACAATCTATCTCTATAC